AGTATAGTACCTAGCACATAATGAGCTGTTCAGTAAATATTGAGCAAATATTTGAATAATATTTGAACAAATATTGAACAAACAAATATTGATCAAAGGTGTAGCTGTCTCCCTACTTCCAAATGTATTCCCCAGAGTCAAAGGCAGTAGAACTGTGTCCTCCCCACTTTATTATCCCTCCTCTCTTTCCTCTGTTATTTCCTTCCTTCCATCCATTCATCCATCCATCCATCCATCCATCCATCCATCCATTCTTTTACCCACCCACCCATCTGTCCATTCAACCATCTTCCTATCTATCCATCCTTCCATCCATCCGTCCTTCCACCTACACATCCAGCCAGCTGTCATTCATTCATTCATGCAAATATATACTGATACTTGCTGGGTACTACTCTCTGCTTTAGTACAGGGAATATGTTCATGAACAAGGTCCTGGCCCTCTGGACTTTGCTGTGTAGTTGCAGTGAGATAGTGTGTAGACGTGCAAAACGAGTAAATAAGATAACAGTTATAAATTCTAGAGAGAATGTAGGCCACGCAGAGTATGGGTGGTCATACTGAAATTTGGGAACTCGCTTTTCCTTCAAGGATGTCTTTGGCATGCACTGGCCCAGGATTTCACCCATACACAGCTCTTGGATGGCTCAGAGATGGCCCTGCCTCTGGGGTAGAGAAGTGCGCGTGAACTTCACTGTTGAGAACCTGTTGTCAAACAGCGAATTCTTATCTTGCTCCAGCATGTCCCTTTTTTGATGCTGTCAACTTCTATATTTCCTTTGGCTTCTTTTGCATTTAAACGAGGGTCTGAAGGACTATGCATATATTACTTTCTTGTTTTTGTGATCTGAGGATTTGGGAAGATGCAGAAAGCAAAGTGTATGCAGCAGAAGGCAGTGTGATTACTACAAACAGCAGTGTCCACAGCTCAGAAGTCCTAGCTGTCTGGCTTGCTGTGTGACTTTGTACAATTCACTTGTGACTTCTGAGCCTCAGTTTCTTTCAATGATGGGTTAATACACCAAGATTTCTGCAGAGCCTTTTGAGAACGTATGAAACTGATCTGTGTCGAAGAACAGTGGTCTCAATTTATATGTCCCTATAGGATCCTTCTCAGCCGGTGCTAGACTTGTTCCAGGGGGCCTCCCTGATAGGGTCTGGAGGGTTGGAACGTGAACATCCCATTAAGCCAGGCGGGTGCCTCTGAGGGGCTCTTCAGAGGGGCCAAGGTGAAGGCTGGGTCTCAGTGCCTTGGCCTCAGCTGAACTCTTGCATCCACCTCTGCTGCCTTCCCAGCCCTGACATTGCTGTCAGCCAGTCACTTTATAGTCACAACTTATGGAGCACCTTCCTATCCACCCCCATTCTGGTCTCCACCAGGTGGCACAGAGAGGATGAGCTGCTGCCAGTCACCCAGCAAGTTTAGGGGGGAGGGTTGAGTCTCAAAACCAGGTCTCCTGAGTCCCTGTGGGGTAGAGGATCGCTTCATCCCTATTTTGTGGTTTCTGAATCTGTAAAGCAGGGGTCATGTGGTATCTACCTCCTCCGATTTTTGTGAGAGATAAAAGAATTAATATATGTATAGTGCTTAGAACAAGGCTGGGCATGTAGTAAGTGCTCAGTAAATGTTAGCTGCTATCACCATTATTGGTATCATATTGCCTCCCAGGGTTGGGGTTGAAGATTAATTGAAATGCTCCTTGGGGATAAAAAAAAAAAGAGGTTTGCAGACTGTGAAGTAATTGATAAGTTTAAATATTATTTAATGCATCCTGGACTGGCAGTATTGAGCAGACTCTTCCAAGCTATTGAGCTAAGGACCTTTCATGCTAAAGCCCGTGTTTCAGGTAATTAAATAAAGGAAACATCTAGAGGATTCTACATATAGTTAGACTCATTTCTGAGAGGTCCCCAGGTAAACTCTTTTGTGGCAGCTGTCTGACATAAATCACCCTGGGCAATCAAGTTCATTGTTATTCTTAGGATCAGGAATTACCAATTGGATCACTGAGAGTTTGGCCCCAGGGTCCTCTGGCTATGCTCTCCAAGCATGGGACTTTCGTAACTCAGTTCAGAGAGTGTACTGGGAAGCTTGGTTTGTTGTAGAGCAGAAGAGTACTCTGTGGTTCGAGTGGAAAACTAGGCAAAGGGAAATGTGGGAGGCTGAGAACACCCAGCTGGGATGCTGACCTTGAGTGAATAGATGGATGGATGCATGGATGATTGGACAGGAAGATCTAATTACAAATAGAAATGCTCTCTCTTCCTCTGAACTGTTCAACACAGATGATAGATTAGTGGTGAGATAAGCAGACTTCAGCAGCTGAAACAGAAAAAGTGGCTTTAGCAGGAATCATTGAACCCAGAAAGGGGTGAGTCCAGAAATGAACACCACCAGCAGCATGGTAGAGAAGCAAAGAAACCAGTGGTGAATGTGGAGGAAAAGAGAAAAGCTTTGAGAACGGAAAGGCAGGGGCCTGAGAGACAGACTTCAGCAGGCAGTCCCAAGTCTTAGCCGCCTGACATTGAGGGAGCCCTGGCCTAATAAAGATGGTGGAAAAATTGGCAATTGCTTTGGTTACCTATGAGCCTGCAGTCATTCCTTTTGGCCACTAGATGTCGAGAACACATCAGTCTGGCACACTTTGGTCCTCTGAGTTTGGAAATAAGCTTAGTGGAACTGGCATAAGGAGTGGATGAAATCTTGGAGAATGGTATCTCTAGAGGCTTTAGGGCAACTCAAAAACTCAACCATGGGTGGGATGCAGAGAAGAGGTCTTCTGCCAAGACCAATGAAGAAAAGTTGATTGCATCTTTTATTCATTTATTGTTTTGAAATTTGGGAAGGTTTTCAAGATGAAAGACGAAGGAGAAAGATGGTATAGAATAAAATTTTGCATATTAGCTAATGTTCTTTAGAGTTTGTAAGCATTTTCCTGAAGCCAAGTGAGTATATTCAAGGTTCTCAAACCCTCAGCCCAAATCAGGGGTGATGATGATGGTGGTGGTGGTTTTAGCAGCTGATGTCTACGTGGCTCTTACTGTTCTTAGCACTTTACCTAAATGAACTCATTTAGTCTTCATAACAAATCTATGAGGTAGGTGGTGTGGTTATTCCCATTTTACAGATGAGGAAGTGGAGGTCAGAGAAGTTCCATCACATGCCCAAGGTCACACAGCTGGTAAGTGGCACCATCAGGATTCAGCCCAGACATTTGTACCAGAGTTCATACTCTACAATACCTACCATGTTCTACAACAGATGCTCCCCGCATTAACTCCTGGCCTACTTTCTTGCAACAGATCACTGCTGTGATTTAATGGTAAGAGTTACAGAATAATTCTTGATTATAATAAAGTCACTTCACAGGACTTCATACGAGAATGAAAAAGGTTATAATGCTGGTCAGGAATCCATTCCAAGTTCCCTGATTTAAATGGCCCCGCTAGGGAGGAGTATATCCTAGCCCCACATAGAAGCTTCTGTTCTATTAGCTGCTGTAATTATCCAAACAAGAGAAGAGAACAAACAAGGTTCAGGAGCCATGGAATCCGGAAGTTTCTTGTGTTTCTTAGCACAGAAGGATGATCATAAAGTTGATATTGCACAGGAAAGGTGTACTCCTGGTTGGGGACTGGGAGATAGAGTCCTATTGGTATGGGGCTGCCCAGCTTGCTCTAAGGCTGCCCAAACTGTTCATACCTGCTGAGAAAATGGTATTGAATTACGGAAACAGTATGATATGGTAGAAGGAGAGGTGGATTAAAAGTCAGAGACCAGATTTCTAATTTGGTTAAACATACTCTTCCTATACGACCCTCCATTCCACTCCTAGGTATTTACCTGAGAGAAATGAAAACGTATGTCCACACAAAGAATTATACATGAACACTTTTAGCAGCTTTATTCATAACAGATCAAAACTGTGAACAACCCAAGTAACTATTAACATATGAATAAATACACAAATAGTGATATACAATGCAATACTATCAGCAATAAAAAACTGATACAACATGGGAGAAAAATTATGCTGAACGAAAGAGGGCAGACCCCAAAGAATTTATATGCTTTGGTTCCGTGTATATGAAGTTCTAGAACACACAAAACTCAACTACAGTGACAGAAAGCAAATCAGTGACTGTCTGGGGCTGGGGGTGGGGGTAGGGATCTTTGTGGTGTAGTGGAAGTGTTCTGTAGCTTGATTGTGGTGTTGGCCCCGCGAATGCAAAGTTTGGAGATTACACTGATGATATTGTACAATTGTGGATAAGCCACTTTGTCCTTCTGGGCCTGAGTTTCCCTATTTGTAAAATTTGGTGGTTGGATTAGATAACGTCTAGGTTTCTTTTGTCTCAAAGACTCCCTTGTTATAACAATATCTGACTTTTACTATGGGAGTAGAAGAGCAAAGTGTGGTTTGCTTTGTGGGAATTCATTGTATAGACAAGGATGAGTTTATTTCAGAAAGCATAGAATAGCAATTAGTATATCCAGTAATACTCCTTTTGGGGACAGAGCCATTTGCAGGCCAATAAGGAAACAACTGAGAAAACAATTTTCATGTTCCCATGGAAGTTCCATGAGTATCTGAGGAGGGGCCTTCCCAGGGACCCTGGGTGGGGAGGAGGAAAGAGACAAGAGTCATGGCTGGCAGGGCCAAAGAGGGGAGCTGAGGGAGGGCCAAGTATGTCCTATCACCTCTGAGACCCCCAAATGCACGGGGGCTTTTAAATGTCCTCGTCCATTCCTGGCATTCAGTAAGGACTTCATGATGTTGCTGAGGATGATAATGGCATGAAGCTGCTACTGATGATCATCATCATTTCCAGTCCGCAGAGCTTGTGTGCAAGTAAAGCACCATGGGGAGCTCAGAGTGTGTGGTGGGAAGAGGGCAGGGTGCAGCTTACTGGCACGCAGAACCTGAAGGGGGCTGGGAGCACTGGGGCCGCATGCCGGGCCGTGCAGGCTGCTGATTTCCTGCCGTGTGTGTCCCCAGGTCATGAAAACCTACCACATGTACCACGCGGAGAGCATCAGCGCAGAAAGCAAGCTGAAGGAGGCTGAGAAGCAGGAGGAGAAGCAGTTCAACAAGTCGGGAGACCTCAGCATGAACCTGCTGCGGCACGAGGACCGGCCCCAGCGCCGCAGCTCTGTGAAGAAGATTGAGAAGATGAAGGAGAAGGTGAGTGAGGGCCTAGGAGAAATTGGCAGGGCAGGGAGGGGGGCATGCTTCCTGCTGACAGCCTCGGCTTCCCCCCTCTGCACGCTGAGGGGTGGGAGATAGAAGCATGGTACCAGCAGGCGCACTTTTGGAGGTCATTGTCATGGAGGAGGCAGGGCTGGCCATGCCTCGCTAGCACTTGTTAGGCCTGGCCTCGTGCCAGGATCAACAGGCAGGGAAAGCGCTCAGCTGACAAGAGAGCTGAACTGTGACAAGACTCACATGCAGCAAGCACATTCTCGGATGGGCAGGAATCACCAGGCATCTGTGGGGGCCGGGGCTTGCTCAGGAGGCCATCTTGTGGCTGGAGGGCTGGTTGGGGCTGAGCATGTCCCAATAAGAGGAAACAGCACTGGGCTACCAACCAGCACCTGGGAACCCAATAAAGAACCCATTCCAGAATGCTGCTCACAAGCCAAAGATGGGAGATTTAGAATCACTGTGTCTTGGTGCTGGACAAGTGCTTTAGTAGGGCACAGTGAAATGAGTGCTAGTTTTGGAGTCATGCAGTCTGGGTTTTGAAAGTGCCCCATTTACAGTACTTCTCTGAGCCTCGGTTTTAAAATCTGACCGTGATGGCAAATGACACTTCTCTCTCAGGTCAACTCTGATCGATTGGTAGTAGCTTCCCAGAGCTCTGTGTTGAAGATTGTGAAGCTCCCTCCAGGCATTAGTTAAAAACAGTGCTGTGATCAATTAATGATGTCTGCGATGGCCAGGGAATTTAGAGGGGCAGCACACATGCTTTTGTTATCCTAGCCTAGGTTACTTCTAAAGTTTCTTTGTAAAAGCTATGACTTTCTTGTTGAGTTCTCTGCATTTATTCATTCCATGCAATCAGTAAACATTTCCTGAGCTCTTTCTATGTGCCCAACATTGCACCAGATATTTATTTGGGCTTCTCTGTGTCTCATTCTATGATTACATGATCCTGTAGCTCTTAAAAATGATAGGAGATTGAGTAGAAACAAAATTCACCAGGGCCTGGGTGAGCTGGAAAAGTAGCCATAGGCAAATAAAATAAGGTTCCAGGGTAATTTCCAAAGGCAAAGAAAAATAAGCTCCCCAATAATTAGGCAGAGACCCAATTAAAAATGGGTAAAGGATTTGAATAGACATTTCTCTGAAGAACTTACAAGAGTGGCCAAGGAGCACATGAAAACATGCTCAGCATCATTAGTCATTAAGGAAATACAAATCCAAACCCCAGTGAGATACCTCTTCATACCCACTAGGCTGGCTAAAATAAAAAAAGGTGACAATCACAAGTGTTAGTGCGGTTGCAGAGGAATTGGCACCCTTACACATTGCTGGAGGGAACATAAAATGGTTTAGCCACTTTGGAAAACAATTTGTCAGTTCCTCAAAATGTTAAACATAAAATTATCCTATGACTCAACAATTCTACTCATAGGTGTCCACTCAGAGAAATGAAAACATACATCCACACAAAAACCTGCACATGAATGTTCCTAGCGGCATTATTCATGATAGCCAAAAGGTAAAAATAATCCAGATGTCCACCTGGATGAATAAAGTGTGGTTTGGCCATGTGGTGGAATATTATTCAGCCAGGAAAAGGAGTGAGGTACTGATACAGACTACAACACAGTGTACCTCGAAAACAGTATGCTAAGTGAAAGAAACCAGTCACAATATTAGGATTCTATTTATATGAAATGTCCAGAATAGATAAATACATAGAGACAGAAAGCAGATTATTGATTGCCAGGAGCTGGGGCAGAGCAGAATGGAGAGTGACTGCTAATGGGTAGAGGGTTTCTTTTTGAGTTGATGAAAATATTCTAAATTTAGATAGTGGTGATTGTTGTACAACTCTGTGAATATACTATAAATAAATAAATAAAAATAAGACAGGCAGGCAGGGAATTACAGAACTACAACATGGGGGATAAATAGAAGGGAAGAGAGACCACCTGCTGGGAGGTCTGGAGACTAATTTAGTTCAGAGTTATATGCTAATTATCCATTTGGCTTTTGGACAAGCCACTTTTTTTTTTTTAAAGTAATCTCTACACCCAACGTGGGGCTTGAACTCATGACCCTGACATTAAGAGTCACATGCTCTACTAACTGAGCCAGCCACGTGCCCCTAAGCTACTAAATCTTTTTGGTTTTCATTTTCTCATCTGTAAAACGGGTGAATTAAACTAAGATACCTTTAATATCCTTTCTAGGTATAAAATTTTATGAATCCATGTAGGGCTGAAAGTGGTCTGGGGCGTCATTGTAGCCCCCTGGAAATGGGTGAGGAGTATCAAAGCTCTCTGTGAGGGGGCGGGTGCATGGCTCGTATGGGACTCTACTACCAGTAGAAGTCTGGTTCCTAGACTAGGCGGACCCTGGGGAAAGGTCAGAGGAGATCTCTGAAGAGAATTCAAAGGTTGACATGGAAGCATCTCTACTAAATAGCTAGAAGAACTCGATCTGGAATAAAAAAGGTGCTTTTTTAAAAATTTTAAATTTTTAAAAAATTTAATTCCAGTATAGTTAACATTCAGTATATTAGATTCAGATGTACAATATAGTGATTCAACAGTTCTGTACATTACTCAGTGCTCATCATGATTAGTGTACTCTTAATTCCCGTCACCTATTTCACCCATCCCCCAACCCACCTCCCCTCTGGTAAACACCAGTTTGTTTGCTATAGAGTTGTGTTTTTTTTGTTTGTCTCTTTTTGTTTGTTTGTTTTGTTTCTTAAATTCCACATATGAGTGAAATCATATGGTATTTGTCTTTCTCTGACTATTTCACTTAGCATTATACCCTCTAGGTCCATCCATGTTGTTGCATGTGGCAAGATTTCATTCTTTTTATAGCTGAATAATATTCCATTGTGTGTATGTATCTATACACACACACACACACACATATATATATACACACACACACCACATCTTTATCCATTCATCCATCAGTGGACACTGGGGCCATTTCCATAGTTTTGCTTGGAATAAGGAAGATTTAAGAGTGCCTAGGTGAAGGGGGGAAATCCTGTTTATTTAAGGAGAGCTGTTTTTCTGCCCAGAATGGGACTCATCACCTGAAAGGGGCAAGTGGACAACTCTCCAACCCACTTTCTCTTTACCTCTACCTGCCCAGGCTGGCCCAGGATAGAAGCAGCTTCCCAGGGAGGCCATCCAGTTCCTGGCCAAGACTAGCACCTCTAGCTGCCCACTCTGCCTCTCCCACCATTCATGTCCAGGCAGCCAGTGAAAAGTGCTTAATGGCTACTTTGTGCAGAGAGTTCTGGGTGCTACAGGCCCGGTGATGAATAGGGCAGATCAAGTCCCTGACTTCCTAGAACTTACTTTCTAGTGGTGGACACCAAAAGCCAGCAAGTCAACAAAGAGGTAAAAAATAAAATTTCAGGTGGTGAACAATGCTTATGAAGAAAAATAGAGCAACCAAGATGTCCTTCAGCAGGTGAATGGATAAGTAAACTGTGGTACATCCAGACAATGGGATGTTATTCAGTGCTAAAAAGAAATGAGCTAGCAAGCCCTGAGAAGATATGGAAGAGCCTTAAGTACATATTACTAAGTCAAAGAAGCCAATCTGAAAAGGCCACATACTGTATGATTCCAACTAGATGACATTCTGGAAAAGGCAAAACTATGGAGACAGGGAAAAGATCAGTGGTTACCAGGGGCTTAGGTGTCAAGGAAGGATGGATAGATGGAGCACGGAGTATTTGTAGGGCAGGGAAACTACCCTGTTTGATATTATAATGATGGATATATACATCATTATACATTTGCCTAAACCCATAGAATATAAAACACTAAGGGTGAGCCCTAATGTAAACTATGGACTCTGAGTGACTATGATGTGTCACTGTAGGTTTATCAGTTGTAACAAATATACCCTCTGGTGGGGGATATTGATAACAGGGGAGGCTAGCATGGGGGTGTATGGGAAATCTCTGTATCTTCCTCTCAAATTTGCTGTGAACCTAAAACTGCTCTAAAAATATAGTCTTTCAAAAAGTAAATTAAAATGAGAATAATCACTAAAAATTGAACAAAGACTGAATAAATGAAAATAATAGAGCAGGGCAAGGGAATGCAGGGGGAGGGGCAGTGTGAACGCTGAAGCCTTGCTTCCAGACAAGAGGCTGCTCTGACCACATGACCTTGGGTAAGGACCTGAAGGATGTGATGAAGCAGGCCATGTAGGGACTTGGAAGGATGGCTTGCCAGGCAGAGGGAACGAGTCTGAAGGCCTAGAGGCAGGGGTGAACTTGGCCTCTTAAGGGAAGGGCAGGGGAGGCTGGGCAACACGGAGCCGGAAGGAAGAGGGTTTGAGAGAGGGACGAGAACCAGGTCAATGCCTCAGCTCTCACCTCTACTCTGTTCTCCTTCCAGAGGCAGGCCAAGTATTCTGAGAACAAGCTGAAATGCACAAAGGCCCGGAACGACTACTTGCTGAATCTGGCAGCCACCAATGCAGCTATCAGCAAATACTACATCCACGACGTCTCCGACCTAATCGACGTGAGCCCCTGGGGAGTCCGGGACTAGTCCCGGGCCGGCCCTTGTCTGAAGCCGATGTGCATGTCCCTTGAGCCCGGGGCAGGGTAATGGGCGTGTGGGGCCTGGGAGATGAGTATCACCTCCTGGTTTCTACGCCCATGGGTGGGAGTGGGCCTCTGGCAGCCCCCACGTGGTTGGGTCAGGCAGGCCTCTATTCCACCTGCCCTTTCCAAGTACCCTCCTCTGCCCCAGGCCCTTTGCTGGGTTTGGGGGTACAGGGGTGATTGCACACCGTTTCCCAGGGTGGTGTAGATGTGTGTAGGTTTAGGGGTTATTATCATGGGAGTAATCAGGCAGTTTTAGCCAACGAAGAGTGGAACACTGACTCCTGAGTAGCAGCTGTCTAGCTTTTGCTGGAGGGGCAGCTGGGTTGGAGAAAGAACATCACGAGTGGCATCATCATGGAGAGCTTCCGCATCATCTGTGTCAGAGCCGGGGCTACTTCCTGTGTCCTGCCCATCCCACGCAGACAGGGGTCTGGCCCGCAGATGCTCAGGAAAGGTTCCGTACTGGTGGATGGATCCTGTTACTCTGTCAGGAAGTCAGAGGGTCACCGCTTTTCCAAGGCTGCAGAAGGGACCCATTGCCACCATCCCCAGGAGAGGGAGCTGCTCAGCCCTGCCTGTACCTTCCCATGCCTGAGGCCAGACCCCTCCTCTTTCTCAAAACTTTTCACTCTTTCCAGTCCTCTCCTTTCTTCATTTACCACATTTTTCTTGAACATCTACTAGCCCTTGAGCCACTGCAATGGACAAGAACTTGTGGGTCTGTCCTCATGGAGCTTGCGGTGCCTAACCCTGACACAATAGGCAGCTGCAAAGGGCGCCTGGGTGGCTCAGTTGGTTAAGCGACTGCCTTCGGCTCAGGTCATGGTCCCGGAGTCCTGGGATCGAGTCCCACATCAGGCTCCCGGCTCGGCGGGGAGCCTGCTTCTCCCTCTGACCCTCTCCCCTCTCATGCTGTTTCTCTCTCTCTCAAATAAATAAAATCTTTAAAAAAAAAAAAAAAAAGGCAACTGCAAAGCCAAATGGCAGGTGTCCCAGTGAGGGAGGTGGAGGGAGATGTGGACCCCCAGAGGAGGGATGCCTGGCATAAACTCTGAGTGGGGAGAACATCACGGAAGACTTCCTGGAGGAAGTGACCTCTAAACTGAAACTGTGTTCCAGGCAGAGGGAATACATATGTGAAGGGCTAGAGATGAGAAAGAATGTGATGACTTTGGGGAGCTAAGAGAAGTTCTGCTGCTGCCCAAATCACACTCCGCAGCTCCCTCTGAAGGCTTTGGGTGATTTGTGCAGTAGGAGTCCAGAGTGTACAAGGGCCTTCGGGATGAAAGATTTGACTGTGGAATGGGAGGTCATCTTAAGTCACCGTGATGGGAAAGGGAATGCCGGCGGCCCCCACCTCCATGTAACAGCCCTTACCTGCACCCTTCTGTTGTGTGCCTCTCTCCAAGTGCTGTGATCTGGGCTTTCATGCCAGCCTGGCCCGCACCTTCCGGACCTACCTCTCGGCTGAGTACAACCTGGAGACCTCTCGCCACGAGGGGCTGGATGTCATCGAGAATGCGGTGGACAACCTGGATTCCCGAAGTGACAAGCACACAGTCATGGACATGTGCAACCAGGTCTTCTGTCCCCCGCTCAAGTTTGAGTTCCAGCCCCACATGGGGGATGAGGTAGGTTTCTCCCAGGAGCCCATGCTGGAGGCTGCTTCCGCCTCTTCTCCCAGGGGCTCCCAGAACATCAGTGGGAGGGGGACACCAGCTCCCGTTCACATACGGGACATTTCTCTCAGAGGCCTGAGGTCAAGTTCTCAGTCCAGGGGCTGCCCAGCTTAGGTGTTTACCACTAATATCCTGACTTTGCTGGCTGAAGTATCTCGCCTGCAGAAGTGCAGGACCTCCGCTCTCCCTCAGATCCTTCCCAGTTATGTGTAGACCCCAAGGGAGTCCCACATCGCCACACAGGCATCTCCCTGTCTTCCATCGGGTGACCTCGGATCACAGGAAGCTGGGCCTCACCTCAGTCACTCTGGCCAGCAGCCTTGCCGGGGCACTGCCTGTCCTCCAGTCCAGGAGGCGTGTCTCCAACTGCGCTCCCTTCAGTGTTTGTGCCCCTCAGCTCCTTGCAGTGTTCTGGAATAGATAAATAAGTACCTGGGGGAAGGCACTTGTTACTGGCCGCACTGGTTCCTCCAATTGTACAGAGGCCCTCATGCAAAAAGCTCCTTGAACTTTTCCTTTGCATCCCTCCCCACTTTCTTCATTTGCAAAAGAGAGGCCTTCTGCGAGGCCTCCCCACAGCCTCTGGCCCATCCCTCAGCCGTTGCGTCCAGCCCTTTGGTCCATCATCTGGACCTGAAAATTCTGGACTCAAAGTCACCACTGGTGACTGCCTAGTTAGTGGTAAATGACAGTCAATCACAGAGCCCTGTTCTCCCTTATGATCTCCCCTGAGTCACGCCAGACGGCCCAGCCCACAGGGTAGTAGCAGAGCCCTGGGGGGAGTGGGTGCAGGGAGAACAGTATTTGCGTCCACCTTCCGCTCCCGCGCCCCCTGAGAGTGCTCTGCCTCACTGAAGCACCTTCCTGCTGGGGCATCGGAGTGCTCCACTGAACGTTTCCATTCACCGTGCTTCTCATTGGCGTCTGTCCGGCTCTTGCTTTACCACAAATTCCTGCCTTGAAATGAGCTAGTCTCACTTAATGAGATTACATTAAGGCTCTTGGTAAACCCTCAAGGGCTGCGCACATCTAGAAGGCCATGACAGAGAGGCCACAACTTGCAATGTGAGAGGGTGGCCCTCGGAGGAGGAAGAGCCCCAGTTCCCGTCTGGTGTTGCCAGATGCAAGCTCTGTGATGTTGGGCAGGTCACTTCACCTTTCCAAGCCTGTCTCCTCCGCCATTGGTAGGGACGTCAGTGTGGCCCCGGCTGTGGCTCTACCCGGGTGGTTAAGAGCCCCGGGCAACCACATGTGGTGGCTGTCCTTTCGCAGGTCTGCCAGGTCAGTGCTCAGCAGCCCGTCCAGACGGAATTGCTCATGCGGTACCACCAGCTGCAGTCCAGACTGGCCACTCTCAAGATAGAGAACGAGGAGGTGAGTGGGCCCCTCTGCCCTGCAGGGGATTTCCTGACGAAGGCCTGGCTGTGCTGGAACCCTGGCCATGGAACGCATAAGAAATTAGGGTTCATCTGTAAGATAGATTATTACACGACGGGGGGGTAGTGCCTGGGTGGCTCAGTCAGTTAAGCATCCGACTCTTGATTTCAGCTCAGATCATGATCTCATGGGTCATGAGATGGAGCCCTACGTCGGGCTCCGCGCTAGGTGTGGAGCCTGCTTAAGATTCTCTCCCCCTCTCCCTCTCCCCCTCCCCCACTCTCACTCTCTCTGCCCCTCTCTCTAAAATAAATAAATCTTAAAAAAAGGATGGATTATTACATGACCATTAAAACTGGGCACACCAAGAATCTTTAGTGGCGTGGGGGGATGCTCACAGATGTTAAAGAAAAACAAAAAGTAGAACTCTGTGTTCAGTATTATCCTAAGGATGGTAAACTAGAGTAGGATCCTATGTGTCTGTGTTTATTCACAAGAAAAAAGCCTGGAAGGAAATACTTTGAAATGTTCATTGTGGTTATATCTGGGTAGAAGAATTACAGGTGATTTCTGTTTTCTTCTTATGCTTTATCTAGTATCTGCGTTGAGTTTGTGTTATTTTTATTATCAAAGATAGTTACATGTATTTTAAATGACACAATGAAATGAGCCAGGGCACACTAAACGTGTCATGGATTGTGAGCTCCAAGGAACATCTGTCTTATCGTGGCCAGCGTGCCTCCCATGGAGCTGGGGACACAGCATCATCACTGGGAGTGTACAAATGGAAACACCAGCTGCGGTGGTTCTATTTTGATGTGGACTGAGGAGTCCAGTTGGGAAACATCCTATTCCGGCCTGGATGCCTCCATGCGGGGAGGATGTCGACCAGCTGGAGGCCCCTGGAGAAAGGACACCAGGATGCGGGGAATGTCACCTAAAATCTTGGTCAGGTTTATCACTGAGGAGTGCAATCACAGCTGGAGGTGGGGAGTCATGGTCCCTGTTTTCACATCTCAAGAGGGCTGTCCTGGGCAGAGAGGGCTGGTTTGCTCTGTGTCTCCACAAAGGACAGAGCTAGGATAGACATGAGACAGATTGTCACGCGGGATGATAACGAATCAAAGCTGCCCCTGGGGGGAGGTTATACAGAAACGAATTATATATTTATGTTGCACACCTGAGGAGAGAAAGGAGATGAAGAAAGTGTTTTCTGTATTTATTTGTGTTCTACATCCTTCCCTGAAGCATTTTCAGTTGTTTACATGGAACAGTATATGCAAATCAATGTTGATGGGGTTTAAATTGGAAATCAGGGCCCCAGAGAAAATGAAGCAAATGTTCCTCTGTATGGGCCATGTATAGCTATGGAAATGCTCAATTTTGTACCTGAACTTCTGTTAGGCTATCTTAGAAAGAACTGATCCATTCATTTATACATTCAACGAGTATTCATTCAACTGGTATTTATTCAAGTATTTATTAAGCACATACTATGCTCCAAACACTGTGCTAGATGCAGAGTAAAGTGAATGAACAAGACACCATGGTACCTCCTCTCATGGAGATTATATTCTAGTGAGGAAAGATAGACAAAACACAAAAGCAAACAAACCAACAAATGAATGGGTACACACAATATCGAACAGTGATGCCCGCTAAGTCAGGAACAGTAGTCAGGGAGCTCTGATGTCACCAGGAGGTGACATTTCAGTTGAGATCTGAATGACAAGAAAGACTTCGGGTGACAACAATTTAACAACGAATGTAGACACAGTCTCCCCTGTCACTGTTTTTGGAGTGACCCTCCATCAAAGTATAGGGCACAAGTCAGTGAAGGGATGTTGCGAGGTCAGGGCTCGTGTGCTCTGCATGTGTAGCCTTCTGTGGGTCCCACTTGACTCCAGGAGAGAAGTTGGAGTCCTGGAGGACTGAGCCAGCGTGTGTCTTCCTCATTGTCTTTTCTCAGTCAGCCTTTTGATAAGTCAGGGGCGGGTAGCCAGAGAGCCTGTCCACTGAGGATGGCCCCTCATCCTATCTAGACTTTGTCCCCTCTTCTCTCTGGATGAGCCCTGAGAGTATTTCTAATGTCATCCCTCTTCAAGAGACCTTCCTCCCCATAGAAGGAGCTAGTTTGGGGCCATATAATCAGGAAAAGAGAAACAAACCTAGAAACCCAGGTTCCTTGTTCGTCACAACATTCTCCAAGGTTCTCCTCAGCAGAAGCAATCCAATAAAATGACTTTAGATTGGGCAACGTGGGTTCTCACCCCAGCCAGCTCCCTGGCCTTACTTTTCACATCAGTATAATGGGAATGATCGTCTTTGTCCTGCCCACCTCCTGTAGGCTTTACATGGAAGAAATAAAGTGGGCAAAGGGACTTTGAGGGGTCAAAGGTGTTCCGAGGCAGAAGGGTTTTTGTTGACGTGCTGTGTTTCTCCAGGTTAGGAAAACCCTGGATGCCACCATGCAGACCTTGCAGGACATGCTGACCGTGGAGGACTTCGATGTCTCTGATGCCTTCCAGCATAGTCGATCTACAGAGTCTGTGAAGTCGGCTGCCTCCGAGACCTACATGAGCAAGATCAACATTGCCAAAAGGAGAGCCAACCAGCAGGAAACAGAAATGTTTTATTTTACAGTAAGTGGCGTCTTGGACCCAGAACCCACTATCTGCTGACCTGCTGGCAGTGACTTTTGGGGAGCAGCCCAAGCTAGTGGGAACCAGCAACACCATGTGAATCAGTGAGAGCTAAAACGTTCCCAACATGCTTCTCAAATTAAGGTGTCTGGCTTGGCTTTGTAAAATGCAAAAAAGTGAATTACCAGTGGGGAGCATCAGCATTGATCCTGGATTAATGGTTATTACAGCTAACCTAGGAAAAAACCAGAGAGTTGTGTTCAGTAAGGTGTGAGGAAAATGGCAAATGGAGCCTGGGGGAAGCCCCAGGTAACAGCCCTAAAGTTTAGTGTATGGTTGTCATGTTGAGGTGTCTTAAGTTGGGGTGTGGGCTTTGGAAACCATGCCCTGGGGGATCTGTGCAAATTGCTGGTGAGTTGTAAGCCCTTCATGTAAAATCCCAGATCACTTACATTCTATTCGGTTGGGGCAAGGAAGAACAAGGATAAGGGGCCTTGGGGCTTTAGTTCAACATGTGTTTAGTGAACATAGAATTTGGGGCTTGTAAGGGACCTCAAATCTTCTATCTGATGCTTGATCTCATTCACTCATATTCCTACCAAGAAGTCATCCAGTCTCTGCTTGAATAGCCCCAGGATGAAAATTTCCCTCCTTCCCCAAATAGCCCTTTTGTTTTGGCCTCTGGCTGGCTGTAGATATTATAATGTCTTCCCTCATCTCTGTTATCTTCAAAAATCTGCTTCACTAGGATTTCTGGTCATTGATCTTGATCCTATTCTCTGGGGCAACCCAGAGAGACTAATTCCACAAGACAGTCTCTGGCTTGCTTGTAGGGAGCTGGGTTTTCATGTCTCCAGGCTAACCATACCTGGTTTTGTAAATCCTGCCTCATTAGCTTTCATTTTGAGTGGCCTCAGCGCCCTAGACTCTTTGCCAAACATGTTCCTTTTGTTGATGCCTGTTCTAAAGTCAGCAGCGGTCTGACCAGCACAGGATAGAGCTAACCTTCCACCTCCTTCTGCCCTAATGCTTTTCATATGTCCTAAAATCATATTCTTTTTGTTTTGTTTTTATTTTATTTTAAAAATTTTAATTCCAAAATAGTTAACATGCAGTGTTAGATTAGTTTCAGGTGTACAATATAGCGATTCAACAATTCTATACATTACTCGGTGCTTATCAAGATAAGTGTGCTCTTAATCCCCTTTATCTGTTTCACCCATCCC